CCACCTCTAGGAAAGGAAGCTCAGAAACAAAACAAAACAAAACAAAAACAAAACTTCTGCAATTGCCTCAGAATCAAGCAGCGGAAGGTCCTTAGCTCAGCCCCTGGCTGGCACCATGGCTGGGGGTGGGAATCCTGAGCATTCACTGTAACCCTGCAAGGCACCTGCAGGACCATGGTACAAGACAGAGTGAGCCCAGGAAGAAAGCAACATAGTTCAGTCTTCAGGTGGACCTGAAGGCCTCTATTCCAGAACACCTAAAGCTGGAAAAATAGGTAACAGTGTCACTGATTATCAGATGGATCCAGCCAGATGTGATGAGAATGGAACAGTCTGGTAATTAAAACAACTATGTTTAAAGCAATTATGTTTAGGATTCTTGCTGTGGATAAAGAGAAAATATCCATGAATATTAAAGAGATCATAGAACAACACTGGGTGGAATGAAATAAGAACAAGTGGATATAAAAAAGAAAGAATTGCAAAATGAGGTCATTTATAAAAACAACAGAAGCAGCAGCTCAGTGGTAAAATACTCATCTAGATGTTGGTGGCCTGGGTTTTAATTCCAAGGGATGCAAAACAAGCACACAAACAAATAAAAAACATGAATACATGGAACTCTAACTGGACATCAGTTAAGACAGATTTAGTGAACTGGAAGATCGTCCACCCAGAACTCAGAACACAGACATACAAACCTTAGGAAGGGCTATTCTGAGACATGGAAAACAGATTAAACGAGTTCTACCAATATGAGAATCAAGAAGAGGGTGCAGAAATGCTATAGGATGAGAGGAAGGTTGGGAAGGGCTAGAATCAAGGACACAGTTCTCAGGAGGCACACATCAAGTGCTAGGCAACATAACTGTGTATCAGTCAGCATTCAGAAATACTGTAGTGAAATTTCAGAACGAGGACACAGAAGAGAGAGATTTTTTTCACTCAAACGGCAGTTAGATTGGCAGCAACCTGCTCAGCAGCAGCCAGTGAGTAATGTCTTAAAAACTGTAATAAAAAATCGCTGTCAACAAGGAACTCTGCACTGCAACTAAACAATCATTCAAAAATCCACTCAAAATAAATACTAAGTATATTCATACTTGTTAGAAAGAATTGTCCAAAAACACTTGCCAAAAGAACCACCAAAGGAGACATTTTAGCTGAATAAAAAATGAGCGCTGGAAAACGACAAAATATGTTCAGACATACAATTAACTGTGGTCGACAAAAATTAGTCTTTTAAAAAGTGAAACAAAAACTTGAGGCAATGATAAGTAAGAGGAAATGGGATCAAATGGTTAGAAAATGTTGCTTTGTTAGAAATGCAGAATTGTGCTGACTCTTCCACTTCACTCAGAGCCACTGTTCACCCTGTTGCCTTGCCTTGGCCGGGGAGGCCCACTTCAGCTCTGCCTCCCCTGGGCCTGGTTACAACACCAGCACTACTGTTCTTTGGAGTGACTCCACGCCTTCTCTACACTGTGTGAATGTCCCCAGTTAAACAATGTAAAGGCTACAAACTTACATTGCCTTTTTAGATAAGGCAATCTGACTCATAGGAAGGAGCCAGAATAATAATTCCAAGGCCTTGAGCTCTAATGAAGATCTTCCAACATGTATCTTGGTAGACTTCAGTGACTCCACTGGGCCTATTTTCTGCCTTTTGACAAGGAATTTCTATCGCAACCACACTGCTTTTGTTGCTGTTCTGCAGATCACCTAGAAGTTGCATGTGCAACTTCCAAATATCCTAGTTGCACGTGCATTACAAATGCCCTGCAAGTGCCTCTTGGCTGTTGTGCCAACCTATAACCAAACAGAAAAGTACTGGGAGAAACAGAGTTGGTAACACCTAGGTAATGCAGATGGGATACAGGAAAGAAGCGTTGTTCATGATTAGTTGATCAGAGGCCACTCAGCCACATGCACATTAGATTTGCTCACTAAGTCCATATGTCTCTTTTGAGTTTTCTAGACTTCATCTCTTGCTTATTTGAGGGTATTTTCTTCTGACCTACTTTCCATTCCCTCCCTCACTTCTAAGTAATTTGCTAGTTAACCAATCTGGTTATTTTTTGTTGTTTTTCTGTTCCAGACTTCCACTTTGGTTCTTTTTTTAGTGCCAGTGCTATTCTTGCTTTTATTGCCTTAAACATGCTCAGTATAATTATCTTAAGGCTCATGCTTGTTGATTTCATTATCTGGACTTCCCATGGGCTGGTATTTGGTTTCCATGGTCTTTTTCTGCCCACCCCCCCCCAGTACTGGGGACTGAACCCAAGGCTTTCATGCTGTGCTACATCCCCAGATCTTTTTTGTTTTTTATTTTGAGACAGGGACTCACTAAGTCACTAAGTTTTCCAGACTGGGCTTGAACTTAGAATCTTCCTGCCTCAGTCTCCCAGAGTGCTGGTTCCACAGGTATGCACCATTATGCCCAGCCTGTGGTTTCCTTTGAGTCATGTGTTCATTGATGTTGTCCCTTGTATGACACATTATACATTAGGAAAGTGTGCCTCACTTAAGACCTCAGGTGAGGCCCCAGCCAGCCCGGTGGGCCAGGCGCAGCACGGTGACCCTCAGAAGCGCTATGAACGTGGCGTTGCAAGAGGCCGGGAGCGTGCGCGCCGAGGCCCGAAGCCCATGTGCAGCCTCGATGCCTCCACGCCCTGCCCAATTCTGCCCTGGCAGCTGTGCGTGGGCGCGCGGTCTCTGCACATCGGACCGACTTTGCTCGCGGTGCGTAAAATTACAGACAAACACGAATGGATAACAACAGAAAATGGCGCTGGAACAGTGGGAATCAGCAACTTTGCACAGGAAGCTTCGGGAGATGTTATGTACCGCAGTCTGCCTGAAATTGGGACACAACTGAAAAAGCACGATGAGTTTGGTGCTTTGGAAAGCGTGAAAGCTGCCAGTGAACGCTATCTTCCTGTCAGACGTAACAGAAATTAATGAAGCACTTGCAGGGTTCATCAACAGATCTTCTTATGAAGATGGCTGGCTGATCAAGATAACAGTGAGTGAGCCTTCTGAACTAGATGAGCTCATGGGTGAATAATCGTATAAGAAATACGTGAAATCGATTGAGGAATGAAGTGGCACCCAAAATAAACTAGTGTGAAGTGACTTCTTCAGCACAGTTGTCTGCAGTTAATGGCAGACAAAAGACTTGAGATAACAACTTTTAGCAGCACTGTAATGATGGAAAAGAAACCACTCTCATCGCTGCTCCTGGAGGAAAATACCCCTTAACTCCCTAGTGATTGCAGATAAACACAATGTGTATCTTTTTATATATACCTTCTGATTTTTAGACAAGGCTGTAGGTTCAGATATTCAGAATTCATTAAATTATCCATGGTAAAAACTAGTTATAAGAATTATCTAATTCAAGGATAATACTGTTATCATAAGCCTTATGTAATACTGTAACTTGCTTACACTTCTCCCTGGATTTGGGTGGAAATACTTAAACAGGGTGTGTGTCAGTTATACAATGTCCAACAAAGAACGACTTTAATTTTACAATAGACTGAATAATCTGGGGCTGTTTTTACACAGTGAAGCAACAGCTTTGCAGCACAGTAAGAAATAAAATATTCAACCTTAAAAAGAAAAAGATCACAGATGATATATCCTTCCTCTTCCATAAAGCAGTGAGGCAACATTGCAGCATTTCAATGCAATCAAGATCTGGTAATATTTGCAGCTGAGCTTCTGTCCCCACAAAGTCTAGTCTTTCTTCCAGCTCACCCTTTACCTAGAGTCCAGTGTTTCAGGCCCCTACTTCACCCCCGGGTTTGCCAGCTTCTCCCTCTCCTTGGCAGTCTCAGAATAAAAATTTTCCCTGTGGCCATTGGTCTGTTGAGAGCTTTGCTCAGTTGCTTAGCCTTCCAATGCTTCTTCTAGATGGGCAGATACTCATGGGGGAAACATGACATCATAACAGAGCTTGCCTTTCTGGAATTCCTTTGTTCTTGACCCCATTATTGACTCCTTTGTTAGCTACAATACCGTTTAATCCTTCTCCCCTCTTTTCTTTTCCTTTTTGTTTGTTTTGCAGTAATGGGGTTCAAACACTAGGTCTCCCACATGGTGAGTAAAGTGCTCTACCGTGGAGCTGTATCCCAAGGCCAGTGCTTGTGTTTTTTGTGTGTTCAGCCTTTCCAATTTCAGTGAAAGGGTTTGTCTGACAGGGCTTGCTTGCCCTTACAGAGAAAAACAGTGATCTTACCCATCAGTGGCTCATGTGGCTAATACATTTCGTTATCTGCTCAGGACTCCTTTTCTTTCAGGTATTGTGTGGCTTCAGGATGCGTCACCGCATTGCACCATGCTCCCAAGACCCCCTGCCCTGCCTGCTAACTGGGTGTACAGACGTCCTGTTGAGATACGAGAGCACCAGTGGCAGCTCTGGTCAGTGCTGGGTACCGGGCCGCTGCAGCAGATATCCACGCGGCCCCGCGCGGGCGCTGGAGTGGCGAGTGGCGGGCTGGAGGAGTCCCGCCTGGCAGCCTCGCGGAACGGTGGGTGACAGACGCACCCGGCCGAAGGGACCTGCGGAAGGGCACTGTCTCACACGAAGGGCACAGGGCACGTGTTAGAGGGACGGCTGCCCTGCGGCCTTAGGAAGACGGGCCACCTGCGAAGGGCAGCGACACACCACGGGGAAGATCGGCGGGACCGAACCGGGGCAAAGCGTCGGACGCCGCGAGCCCCCCGCCGTGGCCGCGCTCGGCCGGTGCGCGGACCGCCTGCTGCCGCGCCCGTCCGCGCCGTCTCCGCGAAAGGCGGCCCTGTCCGTATGCTGTCGCCACCTCCTGCCCTAGCCTACCTTGCGGAACTCGCCTGCCTACCCTCCCGCACTTTTTTGGGCGTTCTCTCGCCTCTACACCTCTGCGTTACAGAAGCGGCCGAATGCGCATCTGCACCACAGTACCGAGTCCTCCGCGGCGTGGCCCCCGCGGGCCTCCGTACGGTGCCGTCTCCATGGTGACTGTGGGGCCGCGAGCCGTCTATTGTTGGGTGGTGTCTGAGTTTCTCTGCGTTCGGGCTCTGGGAGTGCGAGCGGGGGTCCCCAGGTGTGACAGGCGCGAGCCAGGGAATGGGGGGCCCGGGGGGCTTGGGCTGTGGGGTGGGTACAGGACCCGGGTCCCCGGCTGTAGGGCGGAGCAGAGTGCACCGGTTGTAGGGCGTGGGCGCGGTGTCTTCCCGGTGGGCGGCTGGGTGAGGCAGCACTTTAGCTCACGCCTGCAGGCAAAGAGCACTTCTCGCGCTGGGGACTTGAAGCCCAAACTTCGGGTCTCATCCAGCTGCGTCAGATGGGAAAACAAGTCAGGGGGGCGCCAGGATGCTGCAGTCGGCAGGGTGCATGAAAGCCTCCGGTTTCACTCTTACCTGCTGAGGGGTTTGTAGCAGTCGGAAGCTCCGGTCTGCTAGTTCGGAGAAAAGCACCCAAACACCCACCTTGCAAAGTCGCAGAGCTCCCGTGGCCTGGGACAAGCCCTGTTCTCATCCTGCGGACCTGGGTATCTCATTAGTTGTGCCCCCTTGAGGTTGCATGACTGACTGGAACTCCTCTTCCCTACACAGGAGTGAAAAATACGCACATACCAGTCATTAGGGTGCGCGGGGGATGAATACACGTAAAAGCTGTAGGAATCATTGGTGGACAAAGTGGAATTACGAGTGGAAGTGTGCCTCAGCATTTGAAGTTTTGATTAAAAGTTAAAATCTTGGAATTCTATGATAGGAGAAAGTTTATATGTGTGTGTGTTGTTTGCTCTTCAGATGAGGTTTCGGTAAGTTTCCCGGGCTGACTTCAAGTACTCATTCCTCCTGCGTCAGCCTCCCAAATAGCTGACATTACAGGCATGTGCCACCATTCCCAGCTAGGAGCAGAGAATTTTAATCAGAATAAGTTTTCTTGTATTTTACAAATTAAAACGTCAAATTTACGATACTGTTTAAATGACGGGAGTTAAATCAAGTTAGTTAAATCACTGCAGATAAGCAAGTTAAAGCAAGTTAAATCACTGCAGATCTGACACAGCTGTTCTATTTGGTTTGTGTGATTGTGTCTGTGTAATTTGCCATTGCCCGCTCCTCCATCTCCTTTGCTATGTTTCCAGATGACTCCATACTAAGGAGGATGAGCTGTAGCCACTGGAGGGCGACAGATGGAGGGAAGCCGCAACGACGGAGCTCCTGCAGGAGCTGCTGATAATCCCAAGGAGAATGCTGGTCAAGCCGGGAGCTTGCCAGACCCCCGCTCCAGAGATGTTCAAAAGAATAGTAAAGGGGTCATCTTTTCATCTCCATCAACTTTAGACTTGAGTCAGAGTGGTCTGCGCAATCTGGAAAAGGTCTTTATAATCCCCAGCCTTCAAGTAAGTGGTCTTTTTCTTGGGAGACCTTAGAGACAGATGCTGCATTGACAGAGTGGAACTTTCAGCACTGAACTTTTATTTGTGGGCTTTTTTCTCTGTAGAAGAGATTCCAGAATGAGACAGAGGGAGGGTTAATTTGGGTTTCATGTGCTGATAACAACAAAGAGAAATTGAGATAAGGGCACCAGCTGACAGAAATAGTACATCTGTCTAGAGAGGGAGCCAGTTCTCCACCTTGCATGTGGTCTCTCTTCAAAGGAAAATCTCTGGCACCAAAAACAAAAACAAAACCTGCAGTAGAGACAACTGCCCACACAACTGTGGTCTCTTATTTAACACACATAACCCTTTAAAAGCCCCAGCAATATTAAAACAGTTAAAAACTGTTCCTCTTACTGTTGTCTATTTTGTCAGTGCTCCACAGCCAATTTCCTTTGTGCCAGGAGCCTTCTGTAGCGAAGTCCCTAGCCAATGCTGTCTTGTTCTTGTGCTTTTGGAATACCCTCAGAGTACTGTGTTGATGGTAGACAAAACAGGGTGCTTCCCAAGCAATGCCCATCATTGCCCCAGAGCCACAGAATTTTATTAAACCTCATTTGATTTCACCTGGAATCTGGGAAAAATAATAGTTTCATGAATTACTGTAAAGTGAAATAATTTATATGAGGACAGTGTCTGGAACAGTTGTGATGTTGATTGACATTTCTTAGTACTTTTACGAAAGCTGCCTTCTCGGATTTTAAGTGGCTGCTTGCACTACTAAAGTCTATTATTGCCTGGTTACATTTGCCGTTTTTGCTGACAGAGCCAGCACTGGTCTTGCTATTTCTTTCATTAGCATTGACCTCAAAGAATGCATTACTGGCCTCATGAGGTCTCCTATTATGCAAGTATCACTTGTAATGAAATGAATGTTCTCAACTCTGAGGAATCCAGCCAAGCTACTAGGTTCATGTTACCTTTATGCATACAGAACTTTATAACTATTTATATCTTTTGGCAGACACATGTCACTATGAATTTTGTTACTATGACAACAAGTCATTAAGTGAGGTAACCACTCAGAGTTTTGGACTGTTAGGGGTTGTGAACACTGGCAACAATCCCTGGAATCATTGGTAGCTTTTCTAAAAAGCGCTTATACTCAGGGGAGACAGAGAGAATCCCTGCCTTCACATCCCAAGACCTATGAGGAAGGAAACGCAGCAGAGTATGCTTCCCATCCCACCAGCTTCAGATGCAGAGAAGTACCTGCTTTTCCCAGGATGCTAGGGATGGAGAGAGGTTTTTCTTGTCTCTGAGATTTCTTTTACTAGCATTCAAGAGGACCTGTGGTTTCAAGCTGAGCAATAGAATTAGCTGGCAGGAGGGTAAAAGAGGAGACGTGAGAGGCTTAACACCTTCACACCAGCAGAGGGCCACAAAGAGTCAAATGTAGATGCATGTACGTGTAGGTGCATGGAAATACGTGTCCTTGTGTACCTGAAGATATGCACGTGTATGTGCACAGAGGTATGCATCGTCAGGTACCTGGAGGTAAGTATGGGGTACCTGTAAGGGCCAGTCTGCTTTTCAGTGAGCATGCTAGCTTCCAGTAGGCAGAGACTGGCACTTTCTTAATAGAGATATGTTATTCTCAATGAACATATAAACAGTGTAAGTTTTATAGGAGTGTTTCTCAGAAGCCTGTAAATTATTGGAATTTGAAAGATGGGGTTGGAGGTGGAATTGGGCGTTGTGAAACTGACAGGAAAAGAACTGCCTGGTGGTTCTTCGAGTGAACAATAGCATCATCATAATGGCGGACACTTATGTACTCATTTGCTGCTACCACGCAAGGTCTGTCCCATACCCCCAGTCTTAAGGCGAGGACACTGGAGCACAGAGAGGTTTAGGAACTTGCATGAGTTTACATAGCTTATAGCTTTCAAAACCTAGATTAGAACCCAGGAAGTCTGGCTTCAAGGTCAGTGCTCCAAGCATCTGTTTGTGTCCTTTCTGTAAATATAGGCATAGATTTACAGAAATAAATATGCATATTAGTATGTATAGCATGTAACAACAGTATCATGAAGGTTTTTAAAACATGACCTGTAATCTAGTCATGCTATGACTATAAAATTATATATGCAGTATACCCCCTTTATCCAGAAATATTAAATAGGGCTGGGGATATAGCTCAGCAGGGCACTGCGCCTGCCTGGCAAGCGAAAGGTCCTGAGTTTGACTCCCAGTACAAAACAAAATAAAAACCCAAAAATATTGAATAGAAAAGTCTAGAAATACATAGTTCTTGTTTTAATGACTTATATTGTTATAATCATTATATTTTACTGTTTTTGATAATGAATCTTTTAGTTCTTTATTTCTTACTGTACATAATTTAGAAGTTAAATCTTATCATAGGTATGTACATACAGGGAAAAAAATATAGTATATATTCAGTACTATCTATGGCTTCAGACATCTACGGGGGCCCTTAAAATGTATCCTCTGTGGATAAAGGAGGACAGCTGTATATTCTATACTCGGTATACATGGAATTTATCCGCTAGCTCCTCTTATTTTTGATGGTGACTATAATGGTTGATACAGTGTGTCAACTTGAGAAGTTAAAAAGTTTAACTCAGCAGGGGGTTAGGGCCCTTACTTTGTAAACATCCTGAGCTTGCGGATGTTTACAAAGCTTGTAAAAGAGGACTGCAGGGAGATGGCCTGGGCAGATAGCAGATGTAGAATATAAGAGAGGCTTGCCTTTTTTTTTCTTTTTACTATTGCTGCTTTTGCTGTCTTCTGCCACCTTAAACTGTTGCTCCTGTGCCAGGCCACCCTGCCCTAGAGCCATCTAATTACAGACTAAAATCTCCACAAACTGTGAACTAAATAAACCTTTGCTTCCTTAATTTCGGGTGTGGGGTATTTTGTCCCAACAATAATAATAATTAAAACAAAAAAATAACCAAGGCAGTGACTTAAAAATTCCACTAAGTTGATATATCAAACTATTCCTAAAGTTCTGGTTCCTGAGATGATTTTGTGCGGCTATGTGTCAGCAAATGCCACAGCAAATATCTCAGTGCCTCTGTCATTTAGTTTTCTCTTAATTATTAACCTAGGGCCAGTCTCTCAGACCAGACATGGCTCTTGCTGTTAACTCACTCAGCAGAAAGTTTACTGGGGCTCCTCAGAGGTGGCCCACGAAAATGAAGAATTATTTTTAAGATCATTGGGATTAAGAATGGTGGCAAGGGATATTTGATAGAGGAATTAATGTGCTGGGGGGAGCACATGAACCATTTAGGAGGTCGCTCTCAGCTCTGAAAATGGCCTTCTCTTTTTTTTTTTTTTTTTTTTTTTTTTGATACTGGGAATTGAACTCAGGACCTCGTGCTTGCCAGGCAGGCACGGCACCACTGAGCTAAATCCCCGGCCTCCAAATGGCTTTCTAATTCTTGGTCCAACCGTTTAAATTATTTAAGGGCAAAACATTATTCTTTAATTGAGATGTATGGTTGCAGTTGTTAGAAGTTCCTTTGGAAGTGCTTTTGAATATGTCACATTTTAACATGCAGTTGGTTGACAGAACATTCTCCGATTTTCTCTTCTTTGCTCTGGAAGCAATTGCATCTTCAGAGAAATGCCCTCTGCATGATTCCTAAAGATTTCTTTCAGTTACTGCCAAACCTGACTTGGCTCGACCTCCGGTATAATAAAATCAAGGCACTTCCTTCTGGGATTGGCTCTCACAAGTAAGTTGTACGTTTATATTCCAGATTTTTTAAAAAGTGATCTTTTTAAAATGTATAACTGCCTGTTCTTTTGCAGTCTGGCTTCTACTGATTAGTGAGTTTTTACTTTAAAATAGAAGCATTAAATAGTTTTTTAGGGCCAGCTCAGAGGTACCAAATACCTAGCCATGACTGTAACTAAAGCTATTTGGTACCATGAAGAATGGCGGGAGCTGCGGTTGCCTTAATGGTCAATCTTTGCTGTTTTTGTAACAGCTAATTCTACCTCTGACTGTACTTATGTGAAGCTGCCTTCATGTCAAAAATACCTCTGATGAATTAAATCCAGCTACTCTGTTCCCGTAGGCACCGTGTAATCTGCCCTAGTTCCCGGAAAGTATTGGGAAATTCTTCTCATTTCGGAAAACTGGAAACCCCTAAGCAAGCAATGCTTGCTGTCCTGCTATATTCCTGTCACTCTGATTCCAAGGATTTCTGCACATTCCCAGTTATAGGGCACAATCCAGTCCCATCTTTGAGAGTCACAGCTCTATCTGGGCCCCCACTCAGCAGCCAAGACTTTTTGCCGTGGAATCACACTCCTTCCCTGAGCCCTTCTCTGTGCCAGTGTTCCTTTACTCTTGGAAACTCTTGTGTCCTTGTCTCTTGGCAAACACTTCAGATCCCTTCCAGTAGCAGTACATCTGTGCAGAGGGACAAACACATTCAAAGGCCCTGAAGTCAGCATGTGCTTGACAAGTGCCAGGGATGGCCAGTGTAATTAAGCACACCTGGGGACATGGTGAGAGATGAGGCTAAAAAGAGTCACCAGAGCTCAGAGCCCATGTCTCAATTTTGATATTTATTATGAAGAACTGGGAAGTCATAGGAGGGCTTGAGTGGAGAGGGGTGGAATTGTACTTGGCCTAAGATCACTCTATGAAGAAAGGAGCCTGTGGGACGAGAGTGGGCACAGGAAGACAGGCTGGTGGCCACTGTAGCCATCCATGCACGAGGTGGCACACTGGCTGAGGCAGAGCCTCATGTGGACTGAAAGGCTGGCAGGGTTCAGGTTGGATGTGGGGTGAGAGGTACAGAGGTATACAAGAGTGACGTCAGTTCCTCTGTGAGTAATCTGTCCCCAGTGGTGGTGTCATGTAGGACACTGGGTAGCTGGCAAAGGGCTTGTTGAAAGCCCTTAACTTGCCCTGAATTCATGGTGAGTTGTCTGCCCCCTGAGTTACTTCCCCATGGTCTTGGTTCTGCAAGGAAGCAGCTTACTCTGACAGTAAGCTGGTGTTGAGGCAGGTGGAGACACAACGACAAACCTTCTTCCTGGAGCTCTGGGTAGCTTGGGGTCTAAAGCGTGGGTCACACAGACCAGCCGTGGAGAGCAGTGCCTCAGGTGGCCCGTGACCAGTTGTATACAGGGCAAGAGCTGAGCGGGATGCCCAGGCATCTTCATAAGTCTCTGAGCTTGCAGGGATAGGGAAGCCTTTCCTCCTCAAATTGTCACCTTCTGTGTTTAGGATAACTAAACGTTTTGTGTCCACAAATTATTTTAACCTCAGCCCTCAGTTCTGGACAGTAATTGCTTCTCAAGAGTAAAAATAAACTAAAGCCTATTCCCGTAAGTACTGCGTCTTAAAATAAATGCACAGTTCTCAAATTTTGGAATTTTTCGATTTTACCAGTCAAAAACAGCTGTTTTGCATTGTTTAAGATATAATTTGGCCTGTGATTTATAAACCATTATATTAAAATTGAATCAGCTTGCTGAAGAGCTGAAACATGTTAATTAGAAATTTTAAGTAATTATGGCCTTATTAAAAGCCTTAAATTGCTCAAAAAACATAATTAAAACAATGACTATTAATGTTTTCCCCTTCTTGGTGTTTTAGATATGTGAGCTTGCTAGCAGAAAGGGAAGATTTAAAAAATTAGATCAGTTGCGCCTTATGGCATACAAGTGCAGTTCAGAATAGAAATGTATCTGTTTAACTGAAAATCAGTGAAATGAAGTAATCAATGAGTAAGTTTTAAACTACTGGTAGAATATAAGGGATTAACATTAATGAATTCACCATGTAAAGTGTGAACACGAATAATTTAGTATACTCTTACATAAGGGTAGGATATCTCTCATTAGAGTTTTAGTTTTGTATTTGGTAGACATCCTCCTACCTAACCCCCCAAAAAAACCCACAACCCCGGTGGCCTAGAACTTCCTTGGCTTTGGCACCGGATCAGCTGCGGGTGTGTTGCTGCCATTTTCTGCCGTACTATCTGGAGGCCCCGGTTTGTTAGCCTTATAAAAGTAGTGCCGTCTTTGGTGGCTGTTCCTGTATAAGCAAAATTAAAAGGGAGCTAAATAAAAGGGCCGAGGGCTGGCGATATAGCTTAGCATCACAGTGCCTGCCTGGCAGGGACAGGGTCCTGAGTTCGATTCCTGGTACCAAAAAACAAAGTAAAAGTGATGAGCTGAGGTATCAGCCCTGAAATGATCCACTTTGTGCACATCAAGAAAAGATTTTTTTCGTAAAGTTTGCTCCTTGAAAACTTCAATTAGAAAAGAAAGCCCAAAGAAGTATGTCAAAAAATTTTATCTAATCCTTAACTAATCTGATTTACGGTATTATTGGGTTTTTTTTGATACCAGGAATCAAACTCATGACTTCACGTTTGCCAGGCAGGCGCTGTGCCACTGAGCTAAATCCCCAGCCCTGATTTACTGTAAAAAATTGGGTTTAATTTAAGTGAAATACAAGTCTCAATTTTGTATGTGTGAAATTGTGTATTTCAGAACTTTGAGCACCTGATAAGCTATGATATGGGTTTTTTTGTTTGTTTGTTTGTTTTGGTTTTTCTCCGGTACCAGGAACCGAACTCACGACCTTGCGCTTGCCAGGCAGGCGCTTTGCAGCTGAGCTAAATCCCCAGCCCCGATATGTTTTTTTAAATAAAAGAAGGAAAGCATATTAACAGACAGACATCCATTTACAAAATAGCATAAGAATAATACAAATAAAACAGAGTTACAGATAAAGTTGTAGGAAATTAACCATGGTTGTTGTATTACTTACTGATAACTTCAAAGTCATTTCTCAGGAAAACAGAGATATACAAGATTGATCAAACAAGTAATCATTAACTGTTCCTTTCTGTAGAGCAATAGAAGACAGTAGTATAAGTATGTTAGCTGTCCTGTATATACATACTTACATAATTTCCCCTTCTTTCCCTTCTTTTTTCCCATACCCCAGTTGCCCTTTACTTTTGAGCGTTTTCCTTTCATTTCGTGATGTCAATCATACCTCCTAGTTTTTATTCACTCTTTCAGGTCTTACACTAGTGAGACAATACGATGCTTATACATGCAGATCTGATTTATTTCACTTATGAGTATGGTCTCTAATTGTGACCATTTACCTATAAAAGTCTCAAGTTTATCTTTCTTTATAGCTGAGTAATATTCCATTATATAAAATACCACAATATTTTTATCCAGTTGTCAGTGGATGGACATTTGGGTTGCCTCTACAATTTAGCAATTACAAATTGCACTATTATGAATATGGGTGCACATATATCACTGATATGATGTTTTCAGATCTTCTGGGAAAATACCCAGAAAGGGAATAGCTGGGTTGAATGGGACCTCTAGACCTACTTTGCTGAGGAATCTCTGAACTGATTTCCACAGTGCTTTCACTAGTCTGCGTTCCCACCAGCAGTGGAGAAGAGTTCCTATTTCTCCACAGCCTCACCAGCATTTTTTATTGGTTGATTTCTTAATGCTAGCCATTCTTACTGGGGTGATATTATGTGGTTTTAATTTTTCACTCCCCAAGGCAGAATGAGACTTCAGACAACACCTTCCTCCAAAGTGCTACTTTACTTATGGAATGTGAATGTGCACAGCTGCCTGTCATACGTGACTCTCCTCCTGAGAGTGACATTTTGAGGAGGAAAAGCTGCAGAGGTAGAGCCTCGATTGACTTCCAGCCGTGCCACAGCTCCCCTGTGGTTGTCTGCGCCTGCTGGTGCCATCCAGCCTTCCATGAATCAGGACCACATGTGGTTCCTATGATACCATAGCAAACAAAAAAGCCAGCAGGGGCTTTTCTCCAAGGATAGCATGCTGCTGTAGCAGTGGGGGTTCTCTTCTTTGCTGGGTGCTTGTACCTAGACTGCTGGCAGTGGCATGAGCAGCAAGTCAGCCCTGGTGGCTGAAAGGTGCAGAGGTTTCCAGCAGCTGTTCTTCACAGTCTCAGTGAAACCCAGCTGTAGCAGAGGAGACTAATGAAGGGTCAGGAGTCTCGCCCTCTCGTAGGGGTGCCTCGGTAAAGGGAGCCTCAGAGGCCCCAGTGTGCAAATGATTCATCTCTGAGCATGTGGGATATCCTTACAGCAGAAATCTCCCAAACATCTTTAGAAGCACTGCTATGCATTGAGGTGCTTCACACCCAAGGTGCATGGGACAAACCCCCACAGCTAAGAATTACCTGGTCCCAAATGTCAGTAGTGCCAAAGCTGAGAGAGCTTCTTCACCTGGGTCTGTATATTGGCTAATGGCATAAACATATTGTGAATTTATGTGATGTATCTCTACTGCGGTTGCCCTCTGAAAAAGAAGAAAAACAAAGAGATGTGATAGTGTATTTTAAGGATGGTTATTTTTCTGCTCTTTAAATTATTTTTTGTTTTGTTTTGAAGGCATTTGAAAACTTTGCTTTTAGAAAGAAATCCTATCAAAACGTTACCTATGGAACTGGGTAAGTGTTAAAACAATAAAATAAAAAGCGATTTTAAATTGCTGTCCTTGCCGGGCATGGTGGCGCATGCCTGTAATCCCAGCACTCGGGAGGCTGAGGCAGGAGGATTGTTGTGGGTTCAAGGCCAGCCTGGGCTACAAAGTGAGCTCAAGGCTAGCCTGAATTGTGTCGTGAGACCCTGTCTCAAAAAAAAAAAAAAAAAAAAAATGCTAAATTGTTGTCCTTTGAAGTCACTGGACCTTGTGACAGAAAAAGTAGCTGAGATATAGGAGGGTAGGCTAAATGGCATTTAAAATGCTTTCTATCTCCACTCTAGGATTTTCTTAGGAACCTTTAACACTGTATCATGTATTGTATATATACAGATAGGATGTATAAACATAGAGGAGCGATGAGACAGAAGTGCTCTGCAAGCAGCGCACAGCCTGAAGAGACTTGATGTCCCTGTATCTTTGGCCTGTGTATGTGCCTATGATGTCACTTTGCTTTACTGAATGGGACTTGCATCACTTCTGTGTCCCCAAGTGTACTGCTGTCATTTAAACTTTGTCATTTAAACACCGTCTGTATGCTTGGTGCTTTGCTTTCGTGGCTCACCACTATGCTTTTGAGGTTTGCCCACGTGGACATGTAACTGTAGTTCATCTGTTTGTGTGCATGTTCCTTGCTGTAAATGAAAAAGGTAGATAATTTCCTACATTATACATCTGTTTTATCTCAGATTTCTGCTATCATTTTTATGTTTAGGTTTGATTTGTTATTTTTTTCTAGTTTATTGAGTTGGAAACTTAGGTTTTGATTTTAAATCTTCCTTTTCTAATATATGTACATACAACTATAATTTTGCTCTCAGCAATGCCTTAAAATGTTTTCTTCATTCAGCTCAAAATTTTTTCTGGTACCTATTGACCCGTGGGCAGCTTAACATGTACTGCTTAATTTACAACTGGAGATTTTCCAGTTATCTTTATTTATTTGTCTTTACTGACATCTAAATATTCCATTTAAAAGTCTGAGGCTGTCAGGCTAGATGAAAAACCCCACTGTATACTTCCTACTCACAGTGTTTTAAAAATACAAATAGTTTGAATGCTGATAGGGTAAAAGTAAAAGAATGGAAACACATACCATACAAGCAATAAACATAAGAGGGTTTGAGTGCTACCGTAATGCGTATCACAGGCTCAATAACTAGATGCCAAAGTGCTCAATGTCATTAGCCATCAGAGAAATATATATTAAAACTGCGGTGAGGTACTATTACCCACTTACCAGAATACCAAAACTGAAAAGATGACTCTGTGTTGATTGGATATTTATTTAGATTTCATTTTAATTTATTTATTGACTTCTTAGATATAATTTGTATACTTCTTTAGTAGTTTAATAGTTGTAATAGGAATTACAAAATACACTCAGTGTTAGCATTATACCGTAACACATAAAATGTAACTGCAGAAAACCACTTACTCCACTCCTTCCTTATGCAGTAGTTTGCTGGTGGGGTATGTTTGTATATGTTATAGACCCACAATGCAGTGTTATTTTTTTAACTTAAGTAGTCTTTATATTTTAAAGAAATTAAGAGAAAAGAAAAACCAATTTTTAATATTTATAGTATTTTCTGGGTTTTGTTTTGTTTTTTGGTTTTGTTTTTGAGACAAGGTCATCTTGCTATGTAGTCCAGGTTGGCCTTGAACTCACTATGTAACCCAGGCTGGCCTGAAACTCACAGCGGTTTTCCTGCCTAAGCCTCCCAAGTGCTGGGATTACAGGTGTGCACCACCATGCCTGGCTCATATTTATAGTATTGTAATATTAGCTGCTTTCAAATTGTGACCTGCTAATCTAGATTATGTCATGTTTGGGCTCCATAGTGTATACCCTTGTCCCAAATTTCTCTCAGGAGTACATTTTCCTGTTCCTTCCTATGTCTAGTCATTTGAGATCATATTCTGGGCTTTGCAATAGACACTTTGTAGATTCTGGTGTGTGTGTGTGTGTGTTGTAACACAGGGTCTCATTGTGTAGCCCAGGTAGGCTGACCTTAAACTGGTCTCTAACTCATGATCCTGCTGTCTCAGCCTCCCAAGTTCTGGGATCACAAGTATGTATCACTATGCCCAGAAAGGTTTATTTTCACACTTTCTTTTGTTTTATGAAAAAATAAAAAGTTTGTAACAAAATAATAAGAATAACAATAGTTAATATGCTGTGTATCATTACCTTCAGAGCAGTTACTCAGAGAATGACATAGCCAAAAAGGGTTCTCTCTTATAAAGAAGAAACAAGTAGATAATAGCACAAAACTTTCCTTTTGAGAAACTAGTATAAATGAAACAATTAGCTTATGCATTCAAATATGTTTGAAACAGTTGAATAGGTAATTTGAAGAACGATTTGAACTTCTCCATACTTCCTATTTGTCTACCTTCTATTTTGCTCTTTATTTGTGTGTGTATGTATGTATATATGTGTGTGTGTGTGTGTATTTTTTGTTATATTCTTTTAAAAAAGTAACTTAAGTTCACAAGAGTGAGACTCCAAGCTATGTTTCTTGTGGTGTGCAGTAAGCAAATCTGTCTGCAGTCCTTTTAGCCTGGGCTGGATGCTTGGAGTCTGCCCATGCCTGTGAAGTTCAGGACGCAGCAGAGAGTTTTGTGTAGAATTTATATGCATAATACTAGGGTTCTTTTATGTCTGTTCTCTTCGTTCAGGCTTTCATTTAGCTCTGAGCTCTCTCCACAAGCCTTTTAAGTCATGATGGCAAGTTTCTCTCTGCATCAGAGCTCCAGTAGAGGCCCTCTCTGAGCCTTCCACAGGTAGAAGTCCTTCCAGTATTAAACTCATCCACTGTCGTTCTGCTCTGGAAGGTATCATCCCTCCACTAGGTTCAGTCTGGTTTTTGTTGCCCTGCCACATATATGTGGTTCCTTTTTACATGTTGCCCAGTGTCTAGTTATCTCTAGGAAACTCAGTCTAATTGGAGCTGATTGGACTTTGATGGAGGAAGAACCACTCATTGCACTGCTTTATATTTTTATTTCAGTGATTAGCCTAGAGATTTTATTGTACATCCTTAACTTACTACAGTCTAGTTGAAATGAGCAGCTGTACTACTTCCCAAGCAGGGAACCTTATGAATGTTTAGCTGTATTATCTACTTACTGCATTTTTTGGGCATCGTTTTCATATATTTTGCTTTTATATGTAATACAGATCCAGAGGACACTTTAAAACTGAGTACTCCGGGCGTGGTGGCACACACATGTAACCCCAGCACTCGGGAGGCTGAGGCAGGAGGATCGCTGCGAGTTTGAGACCAGCCTGGGCTACAAAGTGAGCTCAAGGCCAGCCTGAACTGCATAGTGAGACCTTGTCTCAAAAAGACGAAAAAAAACAAAACAAACAAACTGAGTACTTGTTCATATTTTCTTACTTGTTCTCCCTTTTCTATGTTTGCACTTCTCACAAAGTTCCTGCTTCCATCGGAGCTACATCCTCGTCCCAAGCTTCTCTCTCCAGCAGTATTGTTGTTGAGTCTGCTGGTGACCAGTTATTCCAGTCTGTTTTTTTCTGAAATCATCTTTATTTTGCCTTAATTTTGAAAGATATGTTGGCTGAGTACAGAGTTCCTGGATTTTAGGGATTTTCGCTACTTTAAAAATGCCCTTACGTAATCTTATTGCTTCTTTTATTTTCACTGAAAACAGTCTTTCTGTTTTTTTCATCTAAAAGTAACATGTCCCTTTTCTCTGGCTGTCAAAGTTTCTCTTCATATTTTGCTTTCAGTGCAGTGCATTGTCTTTGATGTTTCTTGGTCGGGTTTTCTTTGTATTGACCTTGTTTGGAGTTCACTGAGCTTCTTGAATCTGTTTACTGATGTCTTTAATCAAATTTATAAATATCCAGACCATTATTTCTTTCTTTATCTTTCTCTGTCCTTCCAAGGCTCAAGTTAGACATGTTTAAGTTGTGATTCTGCCCCACAGGCTTGTATACTCCTTTTCTTCTCGTTCTTTTTTCTTTTTGTGTTCCAGTTCATATTATTTTCTTTTGGGCCTCCTTTGAGTTCACAAAGTCTGTCTTCTGCTGGCCCAACTGGCCTTTAAACTCATCTTTTTAACTCCATGGTTTTCAACTGGCCTTGAGATTGGAGATTGGGGGGTGGGAATGAGATTAATTACTGTCATTTTAAGAAGTTGTTGTAGGTCCATTCAGACTTCCTATTTCTACCTGTGTCAGTATTGGAATGCCTTGATTTCCTGTGTGCTGTTGAACGATCATTGTGCTGGATGTGGAGAGCTTGATCAAAGGGATTTTCTTTCTTTCAGCACTCTGAATGCCTTGCTTTAACCCTCTTTAGGCTAAGTTGTTCCTGACTGGAAGTCAGGTCTCACTGTCATGGCTCCCTTTGGTCATGAGTTCTTTTCCCTCACTGTTTAGGTGGCTATGCATTTTTCTGTAACTTTCAGTATTTTGCTTATAATGTGTCTAAGTGTGAATCTCTCTGCCTTACCACCCATGGAATTCATTAAGCTTCATAGATGTGTAAATTAATGTTTACCATTGGGACCTTCCAGCCCTGATTTGCTCATATTTTCCTGCTCCTTCCTCTTTTGTTTCCCATTATATAGTATTTACTGGCTAGCTTGATGGTGTCTCTGAGATTCTGTTGTTTAATATTTTTTTCTTTCTAATCTTTGGATTGAATGATTTTCATTGCTCCATTTTCAAGTTCAACTGGTTGTTTCTTCTCAAGTTTCATATCTGCTGTTGAGTCCCTCTAGTGAATTTTTCACTTCAGTTATTGTAATTTTCTACTCTAAACTTGTAACTTGTTATTTTTTATAATTTCTGTTCTTATTGATATTCCATATTTATTGAATCATTTTATTATATTCACCTCTGATTATTTAAATTTAGGTTATTTCATTTCCTTGGACATACTTATAATGGCTGTTTTGAAGACTGTCTGCTAAATCCAGCATCTAGTTCTGCCCAGAGACAGCTTGTTTCCTGAGCATATGTTACATTTCCTGTTCTTTGCCTGTCTTGTAGTTTTTATGTTGAAAATGGGCATTTTAAATAATATAGTAACTATGCACTATGAATTGTATGTGAGGATTGCTGTTGCTGCTGTTTAATTTTATTTCACTAACCTAGTCTTGATCTGTGTGGAATCTCTCTTCCCTACAGAGTTTTTAAAAAGAAAACCTCAGATGTCCATCGTCTCCTTTTATCCCAAATACTGACTAGAATCGTTTTTAAATGTGAACAGTTGCTTTCATCTCCTCCTGGTATTTGTTCCACCGAACAGCAACAGGCACTGAGACTTCTCTCCTCTGTTGCAGGGAACCTAGCCACACTAAGGGCACTGAACTTAAGACATTGCCCCCTGGAATTCCCTCCTCAGCTGATTGTGCAGAAAGGAGTGGTAGCCATCCTGACCTTCCTGCGGCTCTGTGCAGTAGAGCGTGACTTCCCTAAGGATGCAGCTTCTCAAGGTTTGTAGGGTGATTATATACTACGAGCCACGTGAAAACTGAGCTTAGAGCTTTTTAAAGCAAGGTAGGGGCTGGGGATTTAGCTCAGTGGCACGGCACCTGCCTGGAAAGTGTGAGGTCATGAGTTCAATTCCCAGTACCAGAAAACAAAACAAAAAAGGCAAGGTAGGACCTAGCTTCTCTTAATGGTATCCTAGAGACCTGGATCCCTTACATGTCTTCTGCTGAGCTCATATGACAAATGCAAATCCATGTCCACCCAGTCATATCCAGCCCTGTTTTGGTTCAGTGTTTGTGAACTTATACCCTCAGCACCCATTACAGAGCTTGTCTAGAGTGGGGTTGGCAAAAGATCATTGGGAGAAATCAAAGGAAACAGCCATTGCCTCTATGCCACCAGCAAGCAGCTACTTCAACAGGTAGCTCTGTTACACAACTTTAAAAATAAGCACAGTGAAATGTCTCCTGTTCTCTTCTCGGTGCAAAAAATAGCATTAACGGGATTTATAACCATATTTTTCTAGTTACATATCTTGGTGGGAACTCACTAAACCATTTCATTTTGTCTGCTCATTGACCAGCCACATATTTTCCAATAAAAATAAAGAATCATATAGAATGTCCAGGGCCAGGGATATAGCTCAGCAGCACAAGCACCTGCCTGGTAAGAGCAAGGTCCTGAGTTCGATTCCTGGTACAAAAAAATTAATTATATATATATATGTATATAAAATGTTCAGCAAAAAAATAAATGTACTGAGAGTATGAACTTGACAATACCTAAAATTTTACTACTTTAAGTCATTGACATTATACTTAAGAACATGCCTACATTTGAAGTAATTAGCCAAGAGAGTTATATATGTAAGATAAATAAAATGTGTAAATAATTATGTCTGTGTCAGCAGTGTAACCTTCCACTGTGACCCAGATGGCTATATTTGGAAATAGTCTAAAATGATCAAGAAACAATAGCTGAACCTGTACTTTATTCCATTTTTGTTGTTTTGTTTTGGTTTTTGTTATCGTTGTTCATTGTTTTACAGTACTGGGGATTGAGGCCCTTACACTGAGCTACAAATATGCCTTTATTTATTTATTTATTTATTTTTGAGACAAGGTCTCACTATACAGTTCAGGCTGGCCTTGAACTCACGACGTAACCCAACCTGGCCTTGAACTCATAGTGATCCTCCTGTCTCATGTCCGAAGCGCTGAGATTACAGGTGTGCATCACCACACCTGGCCTTTATTTTTGTTTGTTTGTTTTTTATTTATTTTTAAAGGCCTTTATTTTTTATTTTGAGACAGAGTCTTAAAACTTGTGACCCTCCTGCCTCAGCCTCCTGGAGTGCTAGTATTTGTTTTTTGTAGATGTACTTGTAAGTGCTCCCAACAGATTTCCACTGTTCTAAAGCTGCCCAGATTTGCACACCCTTCATTTCTTCGTGGAAAGAGATCCACAGACATCTAGGTCTCAGGTTAGAAGTTAGGCTTCAACAATGGCTGCAATAACTCCCCTCAAGGTTTTGAGTCAGGTGGAACATTCCAGGGAACAGAGTTTATTACTTTTAAACAAAAGAGGAGTAAAGAAAGTCATTCTTTTCTTAGTGTGCTTCTCATACTTTATAAATTGAAACTATTGACTTTAGTTTTTTGTATCTGTGTGTTTGTTTTTAGTCATTAAGATAGGCTTTCTAGGAATGCCTCAAGAATCTTCTCCTGGGGGGCTGGGGATTTAGCTCAGCGGCAAAGCCCCTGCCTGGCAAGCTCAAGGTCGTGAGTTCGATTCCTGGTATGGGGGTGGGGGAAGAATCTTTTCCTATAAGGCTGGGGCGGGGTGCACATCTATAATCCCAGCACTGAGGCAGGAAGATCATGGGTTTTTTTTTTTTGGTTTTTCTCCGGTGCCGGGAACTGAACTCACGACCTTGCGCTTGCCAGGCAGGCGCTTTGCCGCTGAGCTAAATCCCCAGCCCCTAGATCATGGGTTTAAGGCCAGCCAGGGCTAAATAGCAAGACTTCCCTAAATAAAAGAAGACGCTTGTCCAGTGACTTACTCTAGTTTGTGGCACGTGAGAGAGGTGATCTAGAGACACTGGTCTGCGGCCCTGTGGGGGAAGTCCTGTAGTCTGGTCTGAGGGGCTCTGAGGAGACCAGAGCCATGGAATGGTAGGGCCTAGCAGGAGGGAGGAAAAAGGAGCATTGTGCTTTTCTGGTTATGGGTGGCACTAGAAGCTGGATGGGAAATGCTGTGTTCCCAAGCGATGGGGTCTGTGCTTTAAACGTTGATCATATTCCAAAGTGTCTTCACACAGCCCAGCTTCCCAAACACAGCAGTCAGTAGGCTGTGCAAGGGGGGTGCAGGGCCATCAAGCAGCAGCTGGGGGCCCTGAGGCAGTGTGCTGGAGGAAACTCCCACCCGACTCCAATGGAGAAACAGTCCAGGAGATAGTCTGTGCTCTTCAAAAGAAACTACAGCACAAAAGATTTGAAGCATTGAAAGTCTTTCCAGGTTGGAGCCCCGTTTTCATGAACAGGCCCATATGAGGACTGGTGGGAGTGATCCCCCCAAGCCCTGTCTCGGCAAAGCAGTGCCACCCTGGGCTGCCCAGGTTGGTGTTGCAGGGTACTGTCGATGTCTGCGCTGCTGAAGTGGCATTTTATCCCACCAGAGCACTCACCTGTTAAAAAGATGGACCTAAGTGAGCTTCCAGATCTCGTGCAAGATTTATCAAAATACAGGATGTCTACTAGAGAAATCATGAATCCTCAGGACTCAAAGGCCGTTATGACGAAAGAGAAAGTGGACTTTCCCCAGGCTGTTATAGACTTGAGTGAGTTCAGAAGATCCACCGAATCCCCAGAACCATGGCCAAGTGAGGAGGAAATCAAGCGCTTCTGGAAGCTGAGGCAGGAGATTGTGGAGAATGAAAAAACAGAGGTTCGTGAAAACCAGCTCTTACCCGTTGAGTTGCCACCAAATATCAAGGCAGCATTAAACAAGGAGAAAGAATACTCAAAGCCAAGGCACATGTTCAGGTAAAACTCAAAAGCAAAGGTGAATTTTCTTGATTTTTGCAGTGTTGTAAAATAATTTTATAATCGTCTCTTAATACTTGAGGTCTACCTGTAGACATGTGTGGTGTGTATGTGTGTACATGAGTGTGTGCATATATAAATCTGCATAAATAAAGAGAATGTGGGAAATAATAATTGGTGAATCTAGAGCACACTTTCTCTAGGGTATGTCATCATATCCAAGGGGATAATTACAGGATTTAGGGGGTATATCAGTTACATTCCTCTTGTTGCTGAGACAAAATACCCAATGCCCAAAATTAATGAAGCAAAGGTTTGTTTAGCTCACAGTTTGTGGAGGTTTCAGTCCATACTCGGTAGGCTCCAGAGGGCAACAGTTCATGGCGGCAAAGAGCAAAGCAACAAGAGCACAAGGGAGGAGCAGCGGCAAGCAGCCTTACATTATATGCAAACTACCCACCCCAGGGCAAGTGTAGCACTCACATCCATAATTCCAACATTGGACCATGAATCAATCATAAATCTAAAAGCCTGCCCCATGACTGCATGAGGATTTAGAGGGACATGCAGACACAAACCATAAAGGGGTGAAAAAAAATATTAGAGCTAACAGTGGTCTCTAGTTCCCCAGAACTATCCCCAGGGCAGAAGGAGCAAATGCATTGTCTACCTGTAGTTTAAAACCTTGTGGGGCTGAGTGTGGCACATGCCTGTAATCCCAGCACTCAGGAGGCTAAGGCAGGAGGATCATAAGTTCAAGGCCAGCCTGGGCTACAAAGTGAGTGCAAGGCCAGCCCAAACTGCATAGCAAGATCTTGTCTCATAAATAAATAAATAAATAACTTCATGGGGAGACTGTTGGACACCTGTCCACAGGCACTATGGGCAGTGGAAGGTGGCTGGCGATTATGGCACTGATCTTCAGCTGTCCTGCAGTTTAATCCTTTTCAAAATAAAAGAACCTTGAAGGATTACTGACAAATCTATCTTGGAAGTCCTGACAGCAATCACTGCAGGTTTCTAACTAAGGTGTGATTTCAGAGGCCTGGAACTGTTGGAATATTCTTAGCATAGGCGCACACTGAGCGAACAGAAATATTCTAACCTACTATTTAGAAACCTCTTTCCTTCCTTCACTTACTGTTATGAATAATAACAATGATTTATCCAGGTAAATCACGGTAAGCTTATTAATAGTACTTTATAATTTTATCTGTGCATCAGATTTAAATACCAGATTCCAGCCTTTGGAGACTTATTTGGGTGGCTCAGGAGGTTGAGGCAGCCAGGCTGAGCCTGCTCATTTATTCAGGCCCACTTGCTAATGCTGTAAGGTAGGAATGATTTAAGGACACCTTTTCCTGAGAAGTTCTGTTTTAGTGGCTGACTTTCAGTGGTGGTCATTTGTTGCAATCAGTCTTTGTAGTATTTCCTAGAATCAACATAATGATACTATGGCTTTCTGTAGGGCCACCATACTGTAATTTTTAATGGTCTTTCAAAAGTGCAGTTGACCTATAGCCATGCTTTTAAGTTTTTAAGAGTTTATTTTGTAACAGTGTAGCTCAGGTGGATGTGAATAACCATCACAGAGCTTTGTTACATAGTTAGATAAAGACATTGTCATTTTAGAAGGAAGAGGCCCTCTTTCAAGAACATCTTACCTGATCTCTCATCACCGTACCAAACAATGATTCCAACAAAAAGACTCGAAGAGCAGCGAGTAGCAGCGCTCAGAGAGCTCCGAGAAAAACAGGCTCTGATGGAGCAGCGGAGGAGGTGCGTCTGTAGAGCAGGGTGAGGTCTTCTCACAGCCCCTTGCCACTGGTGATGGTGTGGGACTGAGGGTGGAGCCACAGCTGGATCACCAGGCCTTTGATTTGCTTTTCTCTCTCCCTGGTCCTGGGCCAGGATTTGTTTGCCTCAAGTGGAAACTGGCTGGACAGTACTCCCCTGTGTCTGTGACTGAAGTGCATGAGCTCTTGCTTCAATCCCTCCGAGGCTGCCCCCCCGCGAGGCCAGCATGGGTCATTGTGATCATCATGGTCGTCCTTGGTGCAGGTCTCTGCCCTGCCTTCTCTCCACACTCGGCTGCCTTCTTGTGTTTTCCCTAGTTTCCTGTTCCTCCTCAGTCCTTTCCTCTTCACTGGACACTGCCTGACCTCCTGTCCTTTCCTGAGGAGTGCTACTTAGAAATGAGAGTTCATTCTTGCTTTGCTGACCACACTAATGCATCCCCTGCCCTTGGGTTCATGGAAGCCAGCTTGCTGTCAGGAGGCTTCCTGGGCCCAACTTCAGCATCTTCTCTCCTCTACCCTCCGACTCTGCAGACCCCCTAGACGCACTCCACTCCAGGCCCTAGGAGGCTACTGGCACAGACTTTGTCCATGGTGCCTCTGTGACCCTCACCTCTTGGTGGGGTTTAGCCAGTGAGGGGCCCCTCAGGCATTCAGGGCAATGGGGAGAGTGAGGGTAGACTCTATTTCCCCAAACCTTTTGTGAGCTTTCTGGGACTGGCTGCACCCCACACACTACCAACTCCAGCCTCTCTTCTGGCTTCCAGTAACCACTCCTTCCATGGCATGCTAGTGGGCTTGAGGGTGCCTAGCTGTGCATTGTGGTCCCTTCTCTCTGCGTTCTGGGGCCCAGCTGTGAATAAACGCTCCTGACACTGTCCATGGGGAGTGTGCATCTGTTTCTCTGAGAACCGTGGGTACACACTGCTCACAGGGCGCATGTGTGGTGGTGTGCCGGCCAGCAGTGGTACCTCTACACACTTGTAGTTGCTTGTCTTCTTTCAATAACAGATCACACAGCTTTATTGAGAAAAATAGTTTGAATACAAAGAGCAGGTAGGACCTCTTGTGGTCCTGCCTCGAGCTCTGAGAGACCTTGCTTCGTACTCCTTGCTGAACAGCCTTGGGAGCCTTACAGTGAGCTTCAAGATTCCAGGCACGAACACATACCCGCTTCATGTCACCTAATTAGGAATGTTACCCCCTTCTGAGGGGCAAGTATATCCTCCCTGTCCTGTGTGGTCAAGAGGTAGCAGACACTACATGGAGTCCCTTGGCCAGGAGCTGCATGGCGGATATAGGGAGTGCCAGCCTGCTGGAGCTGGGGTCTGGGACCCATCCAGGCAGGTGGCAGAACATGGCCTCACCTGGAAGGAAGTGCCAAGAAGCACCTAGACCTGTGCCTTGAAGTTGAGCCTGGGGGAGGATGGGGACAGTTCTGATGGCATAGGAGGTGAGGCATGGGAGGAGAAGCACAGTGGCCAGACCCCAGAAGGGAGGAGCTACTGTGCCCACAGGAAGAGAGCTTAGGAGGTGGTGGGTGGGCAGAAGGCCAGAATGCATGTGGAATAATGCCCAGGGGTCTGCTGAGGAGGGGAGATGAGAAGAGGCTGGATCTCAGGGCAGAAGGAAGGAAGCCGTGCACAGGAACTGAAATCAGGAGTTGGGGGGCTGGGGATTTAGCTCAGCGGCAAAAGCGCTTGCCTGGCAAGCGCAAGGTCGTGAGTTCGGTTCCTGGTACCGGAGAAAAACCAAAAAAAAAAAAGAAGTCAGGAGTTGGTTCAGAGGAGCAGGTGGGCCCTGGGACTGCAGCAGTGGCTTCAGCGTGGACAAGGCCAGGGCCCATCCCCAAATTTACAGACAACTTAGGAATTCTGCACTCCTGTGTAGCTATAGCCCTTCCTGTGGGCCTTGCTGTAGGGAGCTCCCAGCCACAGGGCAAAACCACACAAAGGAATCTGGCCCTACCTGAGAAGTCAGGAATTCTGTCTGAGGAGTTTGGAAGGACTGAAGATGCTCAGTTTTTAACGCAGAAGGCAAATATCTGGCAAGAAGTCAACTTGTGAGTTTCAGACCTTCCCTAAACAAGCACCTGAAGGCCTGCAATGTGAATACCTGCAGTGCCCAGCTGATACCCTTCCCAGACAGTGCCCAATGCCTTTACCCTGGGCTCCAGGCACTGGGGCCTGGGGATGCCCGCTGCCTTGACCAGGCATCTGTCATCACACACAGACACACAGAGGGCCTCGCATAAGAATCTGCTCTTCCTAACTCTGCCCAAAATGTGTGGGAAAATCCATGCATGCCCTGTGGGGATGAGCAAGCAGGAGGAAAAAGGCTGTTTAAGCAAAGCTGAAAATGACAGCTAGAAATCCTTGCAAGCTTTGCTAGAAACTGCTTATAGCTTATGATATTAATATAAAAATGTATCTTCGACAGAGACAAAAGAGCCCTGCAGGAATGGAGAGAGCAGGCCCAGATGCTGAAGAAGAAAAAGGAGGAACTCAGCAAACTCCTGCCTTCACCTAGGCGTATGGTACGTGCGGCCTGTGGGCAGGTCCTGCTAGCCACAGGGCTTGTACTCACAGTCTCGAGGAACCCTGTAGGGAACGTGGGTGCTGGACTTGGCCCTTGCACAAACTGGGACTGAGTCTGAGTCTAAGTCATTTCTCCCAGGCCCGAGTTGATAAGGCTGGCTGGGGTTGGAGCTGGGCCCTGGCCTTGGAGGCTGTCCTCTTTGTTCACTGACTTGTTGGCTTGGTCTGATAAAATAGGCATTAAGGGGGATGAAGGCAGAGGAATTAAGGGTGAAACAGTTGAAAAATAAAAACACCACTAGGCTGTGGGGTTCCTGCAGGCCTTATCCTGGGCCCCTCACTTGTCTCAGCCTTAGGAGGCCAGTCAACCTCAGAACCCAAAAATGGTGGCTTTGGAGACCTTGTTCCTCACCCTGGATTGTTAGTTCTTAGGGCACTTTGGGTACAGCACGCTCTTCCCATCTCCCCTCAGACCATTGGGAGGTCTTGTTCCATGGGGCACAGGTATTTGGCAGGAACTTGGGAACTGTCAGCTCCTCCAGGATGTGCCTGGCATTCTCTGTACCACGAGCACAGTCAGGCGGGTAGGTTTGACATGGTCACAGATGTTTCTTCAGTCCTTTCTTTTAAGAATGGTCCCTGTGTGTGCCCAAGAAGACCAGGGGTTGCGTCTGTAGCCCCTTAGCTGGGGTGGGTTCTCAGGGCCTCTCCCAGGTTGCCTTGAGCCCCTGCCTTCACCACCCCTGCAGCTGGCAGTGACTGTGCTCCTGCGGGGAGGTCAGCTTGCGCAACTTGAGAGTTGATTTTTTAAAAAATATATATCAAACTAATTTTAAGACTGACAAAAAAGTTGCAAAATTAGTGCAGAAAGCTTCATATACCCTTCACTCAGCTTCCCTGATGCTACCATCTTCATGATCACAAAGTACCTAGAATAAGCATTCACAGTAGTGCAGTATGAAGACCCAAAGACTGCGTCTCACCGGTTCTCACCAATGCGCTTTTCTGGCTGGGTCCCCCATGGCGCATAGTCCTCACATCACCTCAGTGTCCTCCAGGCAAGAGTGGTTTTTCTGTCTTCCCACATCTTTCGTAACTTTGACACCTTTGAGTAGCACTGGTCCATTTTTTTGTGAAAAGTCTCTCAGTCAGGATTTGTCTGACATTTGGATTTGGAGCAAGAATACCTCAGAGAGGACATCATGTCTTCCTCTGTGCAGCATATCACGGGTTCACATATGCTTGACCTGGATCCCTGTTCAAGGTGGCATCAGTGTTTCTCCCCTGCAGTCTCACTGCCCCCTCCCCCAACCCCAGTAGCTGATCAGGCCTCAGGGAGAGACCTGGAGGCTTACACATATGGATCTCTGCATCTGGTAGGGTTGTGTCTGGCAAGTAAGCCTGCTGGTGATGTCCCATCAGGAGTCTTTGTCACTGAGTTCTTCTATGTGATATTTCCCAAATTGCTTTTGCCCATCCAACCAAAACAGTGGTTTATTAATTTAAGAGAAAAAAAAAGTAGAATCTTTTATCCTAACAGAATAACCCAGAAGAATGACAAAATTTATATAAGTGGGTTTTTCAGATTTTGGTTCAGTTGGTGTCCCTGGGCTCTGCCTAATAGTATGGGTCACTGTGACCAGAAGATATTATGATGGCTCTGTCACCCCCAAGGCTCACCCCCCTGCTCACACACACTAGGTCAGTGGTGATAAGCCTATGGCTCACAGGCTTACATTGGACTGTTCGTATCCTTGAAAGCTCTGAAAAGTTCGCCATCACTGCTCTAGGTGAAGGAACGGCCATGTCCTGGTGCTGCAGCCTAAGACGACTTGGGTTCCTCCCTTCTAAATAGATCTGTTAATTCGTGACACAGGTGCTTCTTGCTAAAGAGACCATTCTTAAGAGTAAAATTAGATTGATTTGTTCCACATCCTAGACCCTGAAACATGTCTTCTTGTGAGCTTTGCTCCTTTGTTTGAACAATGTCAATTCTCTAGCCGCTTTCAAAAAAAAAAAAAACTGTGCTGAAGCCCATCCCCTTCTCACTCAGTTCATTTACAGGCATGCATGTTGTTCTCCACATTTTGCATAATATTACAGACAGAATTTCATGTTCTTTATTTACTTAACACTATTATACCAAATTTTCACTTTCGCTATCATCTTTTTTTCTAATTTCTCCAGTGTTCCCTACATGTGTAAAAGTTTAAAATATGTATTGTATCACTTCCAGGAATAAAAATACATGCACAACTAGATATCCTCAGGGATACTTTCAGAGCTTGAGTATAGAAAAAAAAAAAAGGCATTTAATAATTTAAATATCCATAGATGGAAATTTAATAATTTAAATGTCCATAGATGGAAATGGCTTACTGTCACAGCTAAACTATTGGTTACCTAAGTGGTGTCCAAAAGGTTAGGATAGGTCTAACATCTACTGAGTTGAAGATATCTTGAAGAAGTTAAAACAACACAAGTTTCAGAATATGCACAGAAAGTCCTGTTTTTCTGGAAGAACATACTACAGGTTGCTGGCCTTGGAGGGGTGTACCTAGAGGAGGAATGAGGGTGTAGTTAAGAGTTTCAGGGTATACTCCTAGATCTGTGAGTCTGTATGCACTGATCCTGCAGCTTCTTTAAAATGCAGAAAATGAGTTGTCTGAAAACTCATCTGCATTGAGATTACCAAACTGAACAGAGAGGACTGGGCTCCTGCCCTCCCCAGGGGGCCTGCTGCAGCAGTAGGGGTAACTGGTGAAACAGCAGTGGCAGTCGAAGGCCAGTGGTGCAGTGTGCTGGAAGGTGGCAGCAGGGGCCCCAGAGTAAATGGCTGTTAGTTCCTCGTATCGCTGTGGATCCTGAATGGAGGCCACAGAGTGTGGGAACCACACCCACTCCCAGGCCTGTTCCTGCCTAGACACTGATAAAATATTTTATATGGCCCCAAATACTATAATCAAAGTCCAGTGATAGGCATAATATGTGTAATAAGATGTTGATATCCAATATATAAAGGCTACAGAGTATTATTAAAAACCCAAAGACTCCAATGGAAAAATAGGTAAAGGGTAGGATAGTTCACAAGAGAAAATCCAAAGGACCACAGCAAGCATGCATAAATAAGGCCCAGTATTTGCATGTTGGTGATAGGGCACCAGTTACCTGCCTAGGATGCCTGCGTGCTGCCAGATAGGGGGAAATTCTCCATCTGTGCCAGCTCCTGTAGTTTGGAAGAAGGACATGAGAGGGCGCCAGGACTCTGTGCATGCCCTGGTGGTTGCTTGGAACCCAGTATACCAGTGCAGGGAAACGGGGCTGGGCCTATGCAGTAACAAGCCTGCTGGCTTTGCAGCCTGGCCCTGGGGTGTGCCCAGGTGCCCTGCATGTGCCTCAGCTGATCCCTAAATGTACAGGTCACACCCCTTATGCATTTGATAGGTTAGTAGCCTGTGAGGCTTTGTTGAAGTAGCTGTAGAGAAAAGAGCTCTACTGCTGGGCAGGAGTGTCCGATTCTTTGCCCTCTTCGTAAAAAGCACACATTTCCATTTTTCCTATTCTAAAACCAGCAGTTTAGGCTGGCCATGGTGGTGCATGCCTGTAATCCCAGCACTTTGGAGGCAGAGGCAGGAGAATCATTGTGAGTTTGAGGCTACCATGGGCTACAAAATGAGGTGAAGGCCAACCTGAACTGCATAGTGAGACCCTGTCTCGCAAAACAAAGCAAAACACAACCTAGCAGCTTTACCAGTGATCTTTGGTCTGCTTTCTGGGACTTCAGTGCAATTATGTGTTTGACATTCCCCATGTAAAACTTGATGCGGAGTCCTTCACAGCCACTTACGGCTCCATGCCTCATTTTATGACATTTATGTTCTTCCATTGATTCTTCATGTTCTTATCAGAGAATTAGATATTTGGATAAATCTTTCTCCATATTTTATAGTAATAGTAAACTATGTCTGGGTGAGATTCTTTCTAAATACTTGGTTTTAATATTTTTCAAAACAAAATGTCTGACTTTAAGTGGGGAACAAGCCCTAGATTGAGCATTGTGCACTTCTTTCTGCTGGAATAATCTTTGGGAGGCTCTTGATCCCTGAGAGTGTGTTAATGAACAGATTTGGTTCTGCTATGTCCACAGCCCTGCATGCATCCAGTGGGCTGGGGAGGGTAATAGCAAAGGGGTGTAGTGGCTCCAGTCCCCCCACCCCAACCTCCCCTTTCTGGCTTGTTAGGCTTTTCTAAGTTTCAGGCATGACCAGGATTAAAATGACAATGCAGGCAGTCGGGGTCTCAGCCCTGGTAATTCACTTGCAGGTGAGAACACAGATCAATGCTGAGTAAGCCCTAAATTGGTCTTACAGAACACTAGGCTGAAGTAGCCCTGCGGGTGATCTTCTTACCCAAATCCTGCCACATACTGTTTTAGTCATCCTTTGAGTGTGACAATTTCCCCAGCGCACAGACATGTCTGCACAAACATACACAAGCATGTGAATGTATACACACTCACATGGACACACAGACCAGAAACTCCCTGAGCTCAGGGTCAGTCTGGCTGTCAGGCTCATCCACTGATGCAAGAACGTTGAGAATGTCAGGCTAGGGATATAGCTCGGCGGCACAAGTGCCTGCCTGGCAAGCGTAAGGTCCTGAGTTTGAGTCCTGGTACCAAAAAAAAAGAACAAAAAACTATGAGAATGTCACCTTTGGTAAGTCAACCCCCTCTTGTCTGTGTTGCACCTGAGGAGTGTAAAGCCCCCAAGTCTTTCCAGGCCTTGGTGCTGATGCTGCTGTCGCAGGGGGTTCCCTGAGTGGAAGTGCTTTTGTGCCTGCAGGAAGCTGGCTGCTGCAGCAGAGGGGTGGGAGGCAATCAGGCAGCACAGTTTCTAAAAGAGCAGAGCAGAGAGCATGGGTCATCATGCACTTGTGACAGGGAAAACAGATGGCTGGAGGAGGTGGTGTGGAGCAGGACTGCAGAGTCGCCAGTGCAGGTGACAGCCAGAGGAGTTTCAGTGACTGTCCTGGAGTGGGTATACCCTCTGACAGGAGTAGAGAGGGTCCTGAGGCAGCAGCTGTCAAGAAACGGGAGCCAGAGTCTAACCAGCCTCCCAGGGGAAGAACATGCAGGAAGGAGAGGAAGGGCCAGGTGTTGGGCAGGGAGCTGGGTATTTCTGCAATGACCAGAGAGTGGGTAAGGACATCCAAATAGGACCTCCAAAGGATGCTCCTAGGTGATCAGAAATCTGAGTGGGATGTGTACAGTCTGTCAGAAATAGGGAGGATTCCTATCAGAGTGGTGATGTCTAAACATTTCCCTTGCAGTGCTGTACCTTAGAAGTGGTAGAGTCTATTTTGATGTATTAGAGCGGTCCTTGCAGAGAGCTTGTTGGTCTCTGCTCCTGGCTGGGCTACCCCTGCCTCTCACCATGTTGAATTTTTTTTTTTTTTTTTTCGGTACCAGGGATCGAACTCAGGACCTTGTGCTTGCCAGGCAGGCGCTTGTGCGACTGAGCTATATCCCCAGCGCCACCTCTCACCATGTTTAGTCCCCCTCCCACCACCACCCCATCACCCATCCATACCCAGGAAAATCAGGTATCAGCCTGAGCTGCTGTGGCAGCCCGGTGCAAGGGCCGAGGAATGTTCTGGAGGACAGTGCAGACAGCTGCAGGTCCTGGAGGTATCCAGAACTGTCTCTGCCTTTTTTCGTCCAAGTCCTGGGACCCCGATGGGAACAGCTGCATTGGTACAGCTTCTCACCAGCAGATGTATGGCTAGGAGTTGCTGCTATACTGGGCAGTGCAGTGCTCTTTATTGGAGGAAATAACATTGACCTTCCAAGTTTGCAGTTATTTGTACTGATTCTTCATGCCATGGGGCCAGGCCAGTGAGCTATAAATGCAGATTTTCTAAGTAAGCTTGTTCTCTGTTCTTTTCTCCTCGCTTTATTTATATTAGTGATAGAGGGGAAAGAAACTCCCAACTTGCTAGATGTCCAGTATGAGTTCATGTTCTCTAAAATCAAAGAATGAGTTTTAGGAACAATGGAGATTAAGAGCAGAATATATTTATTAGGGAAAGAAAGCTTCCATCTGAGAGAGATAGAAGGGGTCCTAAGCGGGTTGCTGAGGACCCTGCCTTTTCTAGGGATTTTTATAAAGCAAAACCATGAGGTGAGGTGGGGTTGTCCAAGATGGGGTACAAAGGGAAATCACACGGTGGGCATGAGGTGGGACAAAACCATGGTCAGCCAATAAGATTACGAGCATAATTGCTCAGGTAAAATTGATTAAATGGGAATCAAATGGGGAAGCAAGTCGCATAACAAGCCCAACCATGCCTGAAACACAACTCGGGCTTTTCCTGGAGGGGGAGGGTCAGTGGCTCTTCCTGGCTTTCTCAAGGTATTCCATACCTATTTAGAATATTAATCACTGTTGTTTATCCTTAGGGGAAGTAGGTGGGTGCCTTTGTTTTGTCTTTTGTCTTGAGGTCTGGCCCTCAGTGAAGGTGTCTGTCTCCCCACAGTTGCAGTGTATCTCATCTTGTGCACTGGCTCTTTTGAGGACCTAGCCCTGTGTGACGGCTGATAATATTTCTACCTGACTTTGCTGTCTATAACACCAGCACTTATATATTAGTTTGAAACTTTAAAAATAATTAAGTAATTAAAAATATAATCACAGCTGTATAAAAGGCTTGGGGCCTGTTTTTAATATATTAGTATATTCTGTTGTGTGACAGTTTCAGGGGCTGTCACAGCATCTGTCCAACCAACGATTGACCTCTTAAGGGGAAAGCGCAAGCTGATGCACTGGGTAGATGTGCTTATGTTAAAAGCAGCATTTTCTTGGATTCCTGAAAACATCTTGTTGCATTTTCCTAGGTGGCATCAAAGATTCCATTTACTTCACATCTGAAAGATCATGGGAGGATTCCAGTGAGTCCACGTGGCAAAATGAAACACAGCAAAGAGAGCTCATCCCAGGCGAGTGAAGAAATAAGGTTGGTGACTAAGGCTGCAGTTCAGTCCTTCCGCAGCTCTGTCCTGCTCACTGGCAGATGCTTTTGTTCATCTCACAAGCAGGTGCTGAATGCCCTGGCTTACGGAGGGACCTCGGGGTGGAAAGATGATTCTGAAAGACATGTCCTGCCCTTCTGTAGGCATCCACTGCCAAGTGACACCAGGACTTAGAAGGTTACACAGGCTGTGTGCAGGGTTGTTGCTGCCTGACCCCATCCTTCCCTAGTCTTCCCGTGCCCGGAGGTCGCATCTTACTCTTCAGCCCCAGATTTCTTAGACCCAATCTTGTGATAAGGTGCTAGGCAAGGCTTCTGGGGCCCCAGTCACAGAAGAAACTGGATGGAAGAGAGACCAGTGGGGCCATAAGGCTGGGCATTCACCAAGGTGGAGAAGACAGTGACCATGGCCAGATCAAGAGGTCCCAGTACAAGGTCAGCTTGCAGGCACTGAGATGCTCTAGGATTTGAGTCTCTGGCCAGGTGATGTCTGGGCTGTGGGGCTGTGGTCCTGAGAGGCTAGATCAGGAGCTCAGGAGAGCAGGGAGGGATCTCAGGGAAGTGTGGTGCCAAGCAGGGAAGGAGAGAAGAGTGGGAGCCCTGAGCTGGGCCTTTAGGACACTAGGGTTGCAGAGCAGGTGCTGAGAAGGCCCCAAGGAGCAGGAGGCCCACATTCAGCAACAGGCCTCTTCCTGCCACCCTAAATTGTTATTTTTACAGTTAAAGAATGCTAGCCCCAAAACTCTGAGCCCCAGTTCTAACAGAAACATGTTTCAAATCCTAGTGTAATACACTTTTAGTTGCTGTAAGCTGTGTTTTTCTTATGAAAACAAAGACATGCTGTCTTCATATGACACAAAGAGCAGCATCCTAAACATGTACTATTTCACATGGAGTTGAGGGTTTAAAGTACAGAATGTGGCCTTGCAGCTGTAACATGTTAACGATGGAACCATAATTTGTTTTTCTTTCTGCTAAGTGGTTCTGATTTGAATTCCACTTTCTGATGTTAAATAGCTACCAGTGGTGACTGAAGCCCCCCGGTGGGAGAGTCACCCATGTACTACCAGTGGCTTGAGCTGGCAGAACATCGAACATCATCTGAGGAAGGGAAGGGAGAGCAGTAGGCCCTGGGCCTCAGCATCTAGAGAGGGGTGCAGTAGCCTCTGGGAGCTGGGGTACAGCCCTCAGAATTACATGTGGTTTGGAGGAAAAAGGAAAACAGTTGGAATAGTACCTGCTAGGCCTATATGCCTCATGTCCAAGCACATTGGACTGCCCTGTATTCCCAGTGCCTCCCAAGTGGCAGCAGATCTGGAGGAAAAGCTAAAGAGGCACATTGAACAAGTACATGCACGCAGGAACTTCCGAGGTGTACCCGTGCTGCAGGAGATGAAGACAGCCGCCCAGGACTTGGACATTGTGAGTATTTGTCAGCTTTGTTCAAGAACTTGTTTCATTAAGCCAAATGTGTAGATCACATCCGTAATTCCAGCATTCAGGAGGCCGAGGCAAGTGAATCATGAGTTTGAAGCCAGCCTGACTACATAGTTCAAGGCTAGCCTGGACTGCCTAACAAAATCTTGTCTCAAGAAAAAAAAAAAAAAGAAAACTAATTTGATTCATTAAAATGGAAGTACTTTGCCTCTGCCTCTGTGGAGTGCATGCTGATACAGGGTCTGTGTTTGCTGTGTCCTGGCAGAGAGACATTTCAGAATTATCACTGGTCTGATGACAAGAAAATGTCCCAGCTGCACTACAAGCCCTCAGATTGCTGGAAGCCAGCAGTACCCACATCAGGGTATCTCATGGCAGCAGCAGCCTGGGCACAGGGACGGGGATTGCACCTGTTCCCCTTCACCGTGTCTGAAGTCCTTGCTTGAAGCTTTGCACCCAGGAGAACAGGCTCAGGTCTAGGCCTCGAGGGTTACTGCTGCAAAGATGGGTTGGAAGCAGCTGGCCGGACAGTGGCAGTATGCCCAGTGACTGTAATAGGAAGGCCAAAGTGCATGGAGATCCAAATGCTGCTGTCCTGGAGGCTGCCTAGAGTTGTCCCTGAATTACTGCCCACCTAGCTACTGATGGGTAGTTAGCCCCTGCCTAGCGCTTACTTGGTACTGACTGAGATGTCCTGACCTATGAGAGCAGCTTAGTGCGATAGGAGGGTCCTTTTCTGCCCTGCCTGGGACACGGCCAGCCCATCCTGCTGGTTCCAGGAAACAGCTGCCCTCCTGACAGTGACCGCCTGGATGCCTCTGTCCCTACTTGGTCACCCACATGGAACACTAGCCTGTTCTCCTAAGTCACCAGAGCCCTAGCCTAGAGGGCTCTTTCACATCAGTGTACCCTATCCCACGTAGCCACTTTGAGGCTCTGTTCCTAGATCAGGCTGCTTCTGGGCCCACATCCAGGCTGCTCCAGAATGAGCAGCACGACATGGAGTAGAAAGTCTTGCCTGTCCCCATCTGTGTGCTCCATCTCTGTTGTCTTCAGACCAACAAAAGAAAATGTTGATGAGGATGCAAAGCAGCAGCAATCCATAGCAGAACCTAAGCCTCTAGGGCTGGACACTGTCCTCTCAAAAAATCCTTCCCACTCATTTTTAGCTGCTGTCATGTAGGCGTTTGGCATAGCAGCTGAGCCTTTATCCTAACCCATCCAAGGCCAGCATATTTTGCAGGAGGAAAGCCACCTTGGAATGCAGTGTTAAGGTCAGCTGAGAAAAGTGCCAACAAGATGCAAGATGATTCATTCCATAGCACCTAAACAACATGGGAATATAAAACTAGGAAGAAAGGGATTGAAAGCTGAAAGTCTATAGCAGGTCACATTAGGTCCCCAGGTTAGTTCATTGGCTCCACTGGCCTACCCAGCAGTTTTGCCCCTCCCTAGAGAAATAGAGTGACCAAGTACCACAGGGATAGTAACAATGGCCACAAGTTACCTTCCTGAGCCCTGAGAAAGGGACGTGTACACACCAAGGTATTCAGGCTGCTGTAGGGTCTGGCACATCCTCTTCAGCTCCCTTAACTGGCCAAGGCAAAAGCCACATGGTTATCCCCAGGAAAACAACCCTGTGCTGAGTGACCATCAGTGGCCCACCTGCCAGTGTCCACAGTGTCTGTTCGGGGTCTCAGGGCCTCATCCTGAGTAAATGTCGAGCTAGGAAGTATTGGCCTTTGGAGAGAGCCCCATTGTGAAGGAGGGGCCTCAGCAAACCAGCTGGAAAAGTGAGCTTCAGATATTGAAGACAAAATTAAAAATCACAAGCTAGCATTAAAATCCTCTGGGTGATAATAGAAAGTACTGCTACTGTGAAACGCAACAAGCTGTTATGAAAACTGAACACTCTGGTACCCAAGAACTCTTGGAAGTAAATTAAAAAGATGATAATTTTTTTTTTTAATTTAGCTGGGTGCAGTGGTGCATTCCTGTAATCCCAGCACTCAAGGGGTTGAGGGAGGAGAATCACAGGACCATCCTTAGCTATATAGCAAGACCCTGTCTCAAAACAATTTTTTTTAAATCAGTAAGTGAAGAGGATTGATCCAAGAAGTTTAGCATCTACCAGCAGGTATTCAAGAGCGATTCTAAAGTAAATGAAAGGAGAAATTAGTTAAAAAGTAAATAAATAAATAAAGTTTTCCACAAAGAGATGTGGCTCCAGATTGAAAAGCCCACTATGGCTCAGCATCATGGCTAAGGCAGGTAACAACCCTGAGATCAGACTTCCATGGTCAGGGATCAGTATGATAAATGCATTTTCAGATACACAAACGCTCAAAAGCATTATTTTCCACACAGCCTTTCTCTGGGAAATGCATTCTGTCAAGCCAGGAGTTGGGGGTCAGTGGCGCAGGAAAATGGAGCCCAGCCTACCTGCTAGCAGGGCTGGAGCCCACCGGCTGAGGTCCACTCCCAGAGAGACAAAATCTGGCCAGGAGGAAGAAACATTGTGGGATTTTATAGTTTGGGAGGATGAATGACAGAGACATAGAAAACAATAAAATTTCTAAAAGAAGGTGATGGTTACTTACACACACATACCAAAAAAAAAAAAAAAAACACATTAATGTTTACATAAAAGAAAATAATGGATGCATATTTATTAGATCAATAGCAAACAATGTTTCCTTAATCTTACTGATGCAAACCTGAATGACAATGGAACCTCTGACTGTGCCATAAAGGTGGTAAGAGTCTCAAGAATCCTGGGCTGGAGGTAGAGGTCCAGCTGTATCCCTGGGCAGACAAAAGGAAAGCAGGTGGGAAGGCCCTAGGGCCCCCCTCCTGGGGTGGGAAAGTAGGGGCCTTACAGGTCCCAGTGCCCCATGCAGAAGTAAGAGAGCCTTCTCCTCAGCAGCTAGTGACTTTATTCATGTGTGATAGCAGCACTTCCTCTTATGTTCTCTTGTTCTGGCCATTAGAAGGGCTGGGAACATGGAATGTAGAACAGAAAGCGTGCACCTGAGCCCAGGTGTAGCACTTTCCCTTCCCTGGTGGGAGCAGGCTGGTCCTTGGTTTCTGTGTCCATGGGTTTTTCTGCTCGCTGAGCAGTTGCAGGTCTCAGGTGGGACCGTGAACATGGTATATTCACCTGAGGGTGGTACCAGTTTCAACAGGATTCTCTGTTCACCCATTCATTCAGACTGCCATTTGCACTGGACACCTGGGTGGGACCGCTTGGGGACACTGCGATGAATGGCCCACACAGTTGATGTCCTTTTGTGAAGGGACAGCAGGAGAGCCGACTGGAGCAGGCTGCACAGGCTGCTCAGAAGGGGCTGCACCGTGACTCAGCCCAGTGGATGCCTTGGGGTTAGGGCTGGCTGTCCTCACCCTCGTGTACCCCTGCTCCGCAGCGAATTCACCTGAACCTGGAGAGGACAGCATCGAAAGTCCTTCCTTCCTCACTTTCCCTCTCCTCTTCCCTCCAAAGGCCAAGAAACTACAGGATGAAGTAATGAAATTAAAATTGGAATTGAACAAAGAGCATCCATTTGCAACGCTCACTGGAAACCTTTCACTTCACCCACCAGCAACACAACCTCAAAACATATTTTTTAACACGAAATATTAGGAAGATGTTTATAGTACCATGTCAAGGTTCTTCAAGCATGAGGAACTGGCTCATCTCTTGTATGGCAATAGGGACTAGTGTTAAAATATTCAATGTTTTCTTGATTTATTTCACAAGCTGCCCTTTATTGTTTTTATATAAATTTGTGTTTCTTTTCTGAGGCTGTGAAAAAGTTTTAAGCTGCATTAAAAGAACGAGAATATTGCAGACAAACCATATTGTTTGCATTTCTGTCTCCATCTTTTTCTGCCGGTCCATCTGACAGAGGCTCATTTGAAAGTCCCTCTTCCTTACCCCATGCAACCCTAGTCATAAATATAATCATAGTTTTCATTAATCTATTTGTTTTAGTGTAGGAATCTAGTTTGCCTGATTTCTTGCCACATCAGGAGTCCCTGCAGGTTGTCGAAGGTGTTTGCCCTTGCACTTGACCCTTCAGCTGCCTAGGGCAACCTCGGCCCCACAGGACCCCAGACCTTCTCCTGGCTGAGCAGGCCTGTATTTGATGTCCTGTCTGCCCAGGCTGCTCAGGTGCCATGCAACTTAGGTTCTTGCACTGAATGTTAAATAAGGGTGTTAAAGAAGGGCTCTGTCCTTTAACAGATATAGGACCTTTAACAAATATAGGACTTTTCAGACTTTATTTCCTTTTGTGTCAATTTTAGGAAATAAGTTTTTCAAAGAATTTTTCCATTTTATCGAAGCTGTCAAATGTATTAGCATGAAGTTCTTCATAAAATTCTCCATTATCAGTCTTGCTAGGGATTTATCCATATTTTTTAGTCTTTTTAAAAAATACCAATTTTTGGCATCATTGAATTTATTGTGTATGTTTCATATTTCACTGATTTCTCTACATTTCCTTTTTTCTGCTGTCTTAGAGTTTATTTGGTGCTTCTAGAGAACTTTATCGTTTTAAACCCATGTGTGTGATCAGTGCTCTAAACTCCCAATTCAGGAAGCTAGAGAATATATTAGTCCCAAAATTTATCAGCTAGAACAACAAATATTTATTTTTCACCCTGTGTTTGAGGGTCTCAAGTTGGGAGCGGCTTAGCTGATACTTCTGCTCAGGGCCTCTTGAGAGTTGAAGTCAAGCTGCCAACCAGGGCTGCACTCACTGCAGCCCCAGCTGGGCTGGAGGCTCTGCCTCCATGTCACTTGGCTGAGTATTGATCAGAGAACACTTCCTCTGTGATCCCAGTCCTTTGAAATATGTGAGGACTTGCATTATGGCTTACTTATCATAGAATGTATTTGGTAAATGTTCCATGTGCATTTGAGAAGAATGTATTTTTTTCATTTGCAATGATGGTCTATAAATGTCAGGTCAAGGTGACCTGACAATCATACTGCTCAAATATTGACCAATCATACTGCTCAAATATCCTGTGTCCTTAATGATTTAAGCATATTCTCACAGGTATTGAAAGAGGTGAAACACCATATAACTGGGCCTTCTTTTCTTTGTCTAGCCTTCCAATCTTTGTCTTCTAAATAGGGTATTAGTCCCCTTACATTGAAGATGACTGTACACATGTTGATTTTGTATATTTTCTTGTTGTTTCGTGTGTCCCATATGTTTTTATTCCTTTACTCATACTTTGCTTCCTGAAAGACTAGTGAATTTTTTTATTATTCTCCTTTACCTCTTCTGTTAGTGATATCTTTTTGTATTATTGCTGGCCAGGCGATTACGGTGTGCATCCTTGGTGTTATGGTTTGTGTCTGTGTGTCTCCCCAAAGCCTCATGCGGTCATGGGGCAGGCTTTTAGAGTTTGACTGATTATGGGTGTGAGAGCTACACCCACCCTGGGGTGGATAGTTTGCATATGTAAGGGAGAGGAAGAGGCTGCTTACGGCCATTCCTCCCTTTTAGTGCTTGTTGCTTTGGCTGTGTTCTGCCGCCATGAGCTGTAGCCCTCTGCCATGTGCCACTCTGCCTTGTAACCTGCCAAGTATGGACTAAAACCTCCACAAGCCGTAAGCGAAATAAACCTTTCCTTCCTTAATTTTGGGTGTCAGATATTTTGTCCCAGAAAGGACAGAAAAGTAACCAAGACACTTGGTTTCATACAGCCTTTTAGCTACTTCCCAAACAGTGCAGTAACTCTTCCGAAATAACCTGCACCTTCTCCTTCCCTCTTGGTGCTCTTGTGTCGCACATCTTCCTAGCACATGTTTGAAGTACATAAGGTGTAGGCGCCGCTTGGAGCAGTGCAGTGTCGGGGTATTAATACGCACTGATACCCTTTTCCCATATACCCTTCCTGGTGCTCTTCACTCCTCCTGCATTTTCATGCTCCACCAATTCCCAGTCACTTTTCTTTAGTATTTCTTTGTGCTATTGTTACAGTTCAAAGGGCACTTAATTCACTCGGCTTTTTTATATCTGAAAACAAATTTAGTTTGCCTTTGTTTCTGCTTAGGATAGAATTCCAGGTTCACAGTTTTTGTCGCCTCCAGAACTTTAAAAGTCATATTCCACTTCCTTAATGCACATTTTGTCATATTGTTGCTACTTTGAAGGTACTGTATGCCCACCACCACCACACCAGTACTGGAGATTGAACCTAGGCCTTTTTACTGAGTTACATGGGTCTCAGTCACTAAGTTCCCCAGGCTGGACTCAAACTTGTAGTCCTCCTGCCTCAGCCTCCCAGAGTGCTAGGATTGTAGGTGTGTGCAACCACACCCAGCTGTTTCTAGCTTTCTTAAAAGTTTTACTTTCTTTATTGTTGGCTTTCCGCAACATTTCTGCATTGTGCCTAAATGTGATTTTCTTTTTACTTATCCTTGGAATATACCAGAACTTCTGAACCTAGGAGTTTTTCCCTATTCTCTTTTTGCTTTCTGGGACTCCAGTGTTGCTGACACAAAAACCAATAAGGTGGTTTTTTTGTTTGTGTGTGTAATTGTTTTGTTTTGTTTTTTGTCTTTTTGAGACAGTGTTTCACTATGCAGTTCAGGCTGGCCTTGAACTCACTTTGTAGCCCAGGCTGGCCTCAAACCCACAGCAGTCCTCCTGCCTCAGCCTCCTGAGTGCTGGTCAGTGAGTTTTTTAAATACCAAAAATATCAGGCTAGGAGCTGTGTATGGTGTATCTCAGTGCTACAGCTCTTGCCTAGCATGTATAATAAGGCAGGGCATTCTATCCCAGAACATCTCCTACCTCAAGTTCCCCAGGGAAAAGGGCTACCCCCACCTCACCCCAGATCTTCCAAGGAGAGAGGCTACCCCACACATACTGTCTTGGTTACTTTTCTCTCATTGCTGAGACAAAATACCTGACGCCCAGAATTAAGGAAGGAAAGGTTTATTTAGCTCACAGTTTGTGGAAGCTTCAGTCCATACTCGGCTAGCTCCAAGGCAGAGTGTCACATTGCAGAGGGCAACAGTTCATGGCCAAGGAAGACAGCAAAAGGAACAAGAACAAAAAGGAAGAAGCAGAAAGAGTAAGTTCTTTTCCTTCCTTATATTGTATGCAGGCTACCTGCCCCGGGGTGGGTGTAGCACTCACACCCATAATCCCAGCATTGGGCCAAGAATCAATCACAAACTCTAGAACCTGCTCCCATGACTGCATGAGACTTTGGGGGGACATCTAGACACAATCCATAACACATACCTCTAATACACCAAGGAGAGAGACCACCCCACCCAGATACTCTGAATGCACCAGGGAGAGGAGGAACCCTCCCAACCCCACTCCACATCTACATAATTCAAGGGTACAGAAGCCAGAGGTGGGGAATTGGCTGGTGGCAAGGCCCAGTCAGGGGTAGGCCAGGTTAGGATGGTTGAGTCAGGGGGCCAGGGCTTCCAGAATGTTCTCTCCACCAGCTTGTGAACATCTTCCAAGGAAGGCTCAGGAGTAGTTTGTCACAATAGGATGGGATGGGATGGGATGAGATGGGGGCAGATGAAGACATTCTAAATGCCTCATCTAAAAGGAAAGAAGGAAAGGGAAATATAAGGATTAGAGTGAGGGAAAGTAGCTAACAGGTAATTTTCAAAAATAAGAGAAACAGCCACCTGAGTATGAGAGAATGTAAAGGGACTAGAGAGGAACTTCTGATGGAAAGGGTAATAATGGAATGAACAGCAATTTGACTACAATTTTTTTCAAATACAAAGATGAAAGGAGTAAGATCGAGCACATAAGTTACTCAAAGTACAAATGAGCTGAAGCTTTCTATTTGCTATGATACAATCTTACAGCCTTGAGTTTCACCTATGCTCTGTTCATCGGAAACATACTTAAAGCATTTTAAAGACATTGCAATGAATAGAGTTTGACTTGAGGCAGGATAAAGGATGAGCACCTGTTCCTGTAGTGACTGAGAGAAACCAGACGGGAGGGGGAGGCCCTGTTTGAGGAGCACTAAGGACCCTGCGGAGCAGGAAGGATTGGGAAGGCCTCAGGGTGAGCCAAGTGGCTGCCAGTCTCTTTGGATGATGTAGGCCTTGGCTTCTGCTTGCACAGGTGGTCAGAACCACACAGAGTGTTGGAGCCCTGTGGGAGGTTTCAGAGCTGCCCACAAGCACATCTGGTCTCCCTGAGTTCTATGCAGAGTGTGGTAGCAGCAAGGGAGCTGAGGGCTGTCCTGAGGATAGGGTGCAATCTCTGGCTG